CTGAGGTGTTAGGTGCATTTCGGGGGAAGGGTCCATAGACCCTCGTAATTGGCCATTTGGTTAGGTGACGGGGAGTTCGATATTATTTGTTAAATATAACAAAAAGTTGTGTGTCTGATTGGTCCAAATGCTACAGTGATATGACGTGTGGTCAAGTATGGTCCTATACTTGGAATTTGTGGTCTGCATTTCACCCATCCAAGTGCAAACACACAGTAGATCATGTCTTTCATAAAGGCCGAGGTCAGGGATCTTGGGTTTGAAAAGGTTGGTGACCACTGGTTTACAGCAATGCAGTTCTTGTGTTTTGGTTCATATCCTTTTGTGTGCCATTTAATTCAGGATACTGAAAAGGACATACAGTCTAGTCAAGTGGTCAGTGGGCTATAGTGTAATTTCAGGATCATCCAAATTGATAATTTTGAAAGAGATTTATTTACTGTCATTAACTTATCATAAGCAAATGTAAACAGAAGTAATTCTAAAATATATTTTGCTAGTTCTAGTATGTTTTCTTTTATTTTGTCCCCTATTACTTATTTATTATGCCGAGGCAGAATCTGCAAACTTTAAAAAATAAATACATTTGGGGGATCATTTGTGGAATTGTGAAATGGATTTTCAAGTGTGCCTGTAATGTGTATTCCTGAGTTTTTGTGTTAGTGTTGAGTGTGTTTTAGTCACTGTGGGCCTCAGAGCACAGTAGTACACAGCAGAGTCAGACACAAGTAGGTTCTTGATCATCAGTGGAAATGTTCTTGATGTGGAGTTCAATGTTGCAGAATATTTATTTATAAAATCAGGCTCAGTGGTGTATTGATTCAGAATGAATGTTGGTGATCTGTTTGGTAGCTGTTTGTACCAAAAGAGGTTCGGACTTGTAGAAGTAGTAGTATAATTACACATTAAAATAACTTGAGCTCCTTCACTTTCAGGCATTTCTCTTGAAGACTGTTCAACCCTCTCCTGTCCTGAGGACACTGGAAAAATAAAATGAAAAAAGTAAGTCATTAACATGAATTATTAGCAAAGTAAACCTAAACATTTATTAACCTGAATGTAAGTAAATCATTTTCTTTTAATGTATACAAATGTGCTTACCATCATAATGTGCTGTGAAACACAGGGAAATCAAAGCCCATCTAAACATAGTTGATCTATGAACAAACATTCATTCAACTGTGCTCTCAAAAACTGTGTTCATCTCACAGAGTGCTTCTTGAAATGTTTGTGTTGTCACATGATCTACTCATACATGGAGAGAGTGATGCTGACCCCTTGTGGATGACGTTTGAAATATCTTTAAAAAATTTATTTTGGATAACATTTTTCACAGAATTAGAATTTGCCTGAAAATGTTTTTAGAACACATGCTTGATCCCCACTAGTCATATCTGTATTGTAAAGCCATTTAGTTACTGTATATAGCCTACCAATGGGTATCATGCACCTATTTTTTGTTTCCTTGCAGTAAATGATCTTAAGGTTCTAGATATAATAGAGGGGGGTCTGCATGTAATTCAAGATTTAAGGGTAACATTTCTCCCTGTCTGAAGAACACCACTGTTTCTTTTACAGTCAGATTTTTGTACAGTGCCATTGTGTTTCCTGTCACTGAGGGCCTCACAGCACAGTAGTCTGATACTGCAGTAGAGGAGATGATCAGATCCACATGGTTTTGTTTTTCTTTTCTGACATTAGTACTGAAACATTGATCTACATCAGACGTCTGAGCTTGTTTTGCACTGTCTGAGATGAGCACAAGGAACTCAGGAGCTGTTCTGGGATACTGACGGTGCCAAAGTAAAGACCATGCAGATGAATAACTGCAGTACATTGCAGCATTTGAACCCTCTGCAAAAAACTCCACTGTTTTGTTTGATGTAATAGTACACACTTTGCTGTGATCATAAAGGTAATGCATTAAAACAATGGTACTTACATGCTAAAGCAGAGAGCAGAATAACTGAATGAAGTATCATTGTATTTGCGTTTACAGACTCAGCTTAAAATATCTTATGTTGGGTTCAACAAACTATCTTTAGATATAGTTTAAGCCCCTCCTTCCTCGCCACCTGGGAGAAAGCAAATGCATGTACTGTAAATTAACAATCCATGTGTATAATAATATTTTGTGCTTTATAGAGCTAGCAGATATGAGGGTTGGAAATGTGGGATGTAGATGCAATACTGTGTATCAGTTTTCTTTAATGTGTTGTTATGTTTCATGTGACTGTGTTCTCCAGTTTCTGTGAAAAAGAATCAAGCAATAAAGTGATTAAACCATCAGTGCACTGGATAAGTGCACTCAATCAGGAAATATAAAATATGTAAATAAACAAATCAGTTTTCAACTATATCCTGATGTAAGGAATAATTCAAATTAATAGCAGTTTACGTAGAACGGCAGCCAATAGAAATAAATTCCTCAGCCAGATTAACAGTTTACATAAAGTGTATAAAAACTCCAGATGCAATATTAATGAAATATTATGATAATGAACATGAGCCAGTCTGAGTTTAGAGTTCACTGTGTGACTATATGTAAGCACTGGTTAAACACTTACAAGGAACTTGCATGCATAATAAGTTCTGCCACAAATTGAAAAAAAAAAAACTGGTTGCAGTTTTTCCCTGTTTGACTTTTAATCATTTTTGTAACAAACACATTTTTTAACATTTACAGTACATACTGTACTCAAAAGTCTAACTCAAAATGTTAAAATGATGGATAATTAAGAGGAATTTGCTAATAAACATAGATTAATTTGATGCTGCCTTCATGCAGAAAACTTATGAAACATATAGTGCAATATAGTGTATCAGGTTTTTGTACAGTGTTCTTGTGTTTCCTGTGACTGTGGGCCTCAGAGCACAGTAGTACAGAGCAGAGTCTGATACAACAGCAGAGGAGATCACCAGATCCACACGTTTGATTTCTTTTGTAGCTTTTGAATACAGGCGAAGATCAGGCTCAGATTTACTTGAATATTCATTGACCTGAAGTAGGAACTCTGGTTTTGCTCCGAGATACTGTCGATACCACTGGAGAGAGTCAACAGTGCCAGTGGTACTGTAATTACAAGACAGAGTCACATTTTTACCCTCAACAACATATTTTTCTGAATACAGTGGTTGTATTGTATCAGCAAAAGAAATTCCTGTGGAAAAGAAAAGAGTCTCAATTAATCAAGCAATAAAATAATAAATTTATGCAAAGCCTCAAATGTTTTTAAGTTTTTTTTTAGGTGTTTTTTTTTTGTTTGTTTCATATTAAACCTATTGCTTGAATGAATATATCTTACCAATGCAAAGTTGCATTATTATCCAGGTAAAGAGAAACATGATGCCTTCAGAGAGACAGTGATGGAAAATAGTGTTTGAATAACTGTTTGACTCTGTCTCTCACACTCAACAAGCTGAATAAGCTCCACCCACTGCTGGAGTCTGTTTATTCTGTAACAGCAGTGAAAAAAATGCACAAGTTAAAACTGCATGAATGAGAGCTCTTATTGTCAGGATGTGTATGTGTTTCAGACTGCAGAGTGCAATAAAACACAGCAGTCAGACACACACACATCCTGGATTGACAGAGAAACTGAGCTTGAGGATTTGTTGAGATCTGCATGAAATCTTTCCTCAAATTCTTTTTCACTGCTGCTTGATCCAGCCGAGAGTTTACGGAGCAAGTAGACTGACAATCCATTGGTTTTATGTTGGTACCAGTAAAGAGAAGGGTATGAATCACTGGTAATGTAAGTGCAGTGAAGTGTAACTGCGTAATGTTCAGAAGCTTTTTGAAATCTTGTGGCTGATTAACAGAATCCTGTGTAATGCACTCTGTCAGGGGGGAAAAAAACACAGATATATATTCTTATGTAATGATCATGCACATTTGTTAGATTTAATTGAGTTAAGTTACTTACCAAGAAATACTGCCATTAAACGTAAATTCCTCAGCAAAATTAACATAGTTTATGTGCAGCAGGCAATATTAGTTTAACAACGCAAAACTGCAGAGGACATACACATATAGCAGGGACTTCATAAATCAGCGTCATAGATTATGCCACACAGTGGGCAACTTCTGAAATTAATTTGAGATTTTTCATTAAATTAAAAAGGGACCTTCTTGACAAAAGCTGAAATAAATGATATAATCTTAATGCAATAAGTCCCTTTCTGATTTCAAAGATTTTTGTTACTTTCTGTACTATTATAAAAACAAATGTTTTAATAACATATCATTCTTTCTTTGTGCACAGGATTGTTGTCCCTTCCCAAACTGCTGCAGCAAGACCAAAAAGCACACAGAATGTTATTGTATTAGATAAATCATAAAGACCATTTGGGTAAAGGCATTTGCAAAATGAATAAATATAAAATTACTGGATTAGCAAAGCCTATCAATTAAAAGGTGTTTTCACATGCTTTTGGCCATATTTAAAGTATATGGCTTTGGTTTGTTGAGGACTTGATTTGAGCATGACAATGGCTTATGTAAGAAGAAGCTCAGAATTTCACTGCCAAAGCCATGATAAACCCAACAGACTGAACAATGATATCAAATAGGCTGGATGCTGTTGGAGAGTCAACAGAGCCATGAACTCAACAGAAGTGGTGCTGAGACAATTATTTGAAGAACTACAAGGAGTCCTATAATTGAAAAGAAATTTCAACCTTTTCAACAAACCTCACTTAAGTTACTTCCCTCCATTGGCTCCCTGTTTCACTGCTTGAAGACAAGCAATTAAGAAATTATATTAAGAATGTATTTGTGTATAAAAGGAACTGCAAAGAATGTGATATCAGAACACATTGTCAGTGCGTTTTCTGTATTTTTATTTTTATTTTTGCTTTTTATGTCTAAGTCAAACTCACTCAAGTGTTGCCACATATTTTATTACATTCAGGGGTGGATAGATTGTGGTTTTCACTAGATTTTTTCAAACTGAAAAGAGCTTCAGATTTTTGTACGACATGTCTCATGTTTTTTTTAATCATTGGGCTGCTACTCTTATATAATAGTGAGCTGAATCTGACAGACGTACATCAGTAATAGTGAGTTCAGTGGGTGTACGTGATGTAGTTGACTGAAACCGACCATCAGAGGTGTTATCATCATAACGTAATCGGGCACCTTTGCGTAATTTTCCATTGGGATTCTGTCTGTACCAGTAAAGCACAACATAATCACTGTTTGTACTATATGAACAGCTCAGCTTGACAGTTCCTCCTTCTTGAGAGTTTTTTTCTGTACCTTTATCTGGCCCAATGTCGTCTCCAGCCACCAAACCTGTCAACAATAAGCACAAATAAACTGATTTTTGATTTGTGAAAGCAAGGTTGACAAAATTATCCCTAACACATTTCACAGTACTTACAAAAAATCATAAAAACACACTGTTATCATTTAAAGAACAGTCTTTCATTTGTTTTCACTCCATAAATAATGTACCTGTTCCCACAATGAGAATCAGTATGAAGCATCTGTCCATGTTCAATCAGATCAGCTCAGTTCTCTGTTGAGGCTCTCAGTGCTCTGAGCTGTAAGTCACTGCAGATCAGTCATAAACACACACAGGAACATCATCCTCTCTGAACTTCCTTCTTCTGTTTATGACTGTCATTTAACAATGTTAGATAACTACACTATTTTGCATCACTGCACAAAGCTTGATAATGTGATGATGGAGCACAGAGTATATGCAATGAAGTATTTCTTCAAAAAGCACATTAATATACCAGAAAATGTGGTTTCTTGATTTATATATTTTCTGTTATGTAAGTATATTTTCAATATAATTTGTACTATATAAACGTTTAACATAATTTTGTAGTATGACTATATTTCTCTTATATAGGATAGGAACATAGCAGTATCTCTACGTGAAAGTGTGTGAACACTGCCATCCTGTGGCATACATCATCCTGCACTATTTATTGCAAATGGGGAATATGTTTTATTGTTTGACAGTTGACTGAATTACAGGTGTTAAGGCATGACGAAGCAGATATCGTCCTCTTTTGGAAGACCAAACAAAGTAGTTTCGCTTTCACAACGAAGCACACAGCGTCTTTACAACATGGCGGCGGCAACAACAAAACTACAGTGAGAATAAAAGTTACGCCTTCTTTCTTTGCGTGAACATTTGGGCGGCATTATGCAAATCTTCCCACATAGCGATGTAGATATGTGGGGGCGTGTTAGAACGAGCCGTTTTAGGAGGGTGTGGCTGACTCTTAACTTTTATAAAGAATATCTCTTTGGATTTGAGACTTTAGTCTTTGCAACTTTACAGATCTTCTTTATGCACCAAGAGCTTGTAACACCCCAAAGCATCATATGACCCCTTTAAAGCGCAGCTTCATAGGGATCTGTGTGTACCTTTTGATTTTAGTACTACCTGTGATTTTTTTCCACTATTGGTTCATAATTGCCAGTCACAGATTCTTTCTCTCTGTCTTCATCTCTATCTCTGTGTTTGTCTCTCGTCTCTCATTGTAACAGGTTTTTGTAGAGAGCTGATGTGTTTCCTGTCACTGTGGGCTGCAGAGCACAGTAGTACAGAGCAGAGTCTGATACAGCAGCAGAGGAGATCATCAGATCCACATGTTCCCTTTTTTCAACTTTAACAGTGAATCTTGGATCTACATCAGACCGTTGAGCTTCCTTTGCACTGCTGTAGGTGAGTACAAGAAATTCAGGTTTTGATCTTCCATACTGACGGTACCAGTGGAGATTATCTGTAGTTCCAGAGTCAGAAAAATTACAGGACAATGTAATATCTGAAGCCTCCTCAGCAAAAACTTCTGGTTGGTCTGGTTTGATGACATTTCCAAAGACAGCAGCTGAAAATGGAAAGTTAATTGGTAACTTTTTAGAGAAAAGTTTTGAGTAAAATTGTTAACAGAAAAATAAATAATTATGCAAATAAATACACATACCAGCTGAGACACAGAGCAGAATAACTGGATGAAGATCCATTATACAAGTGTTCACTCTGAAAAGAATCGATTCAACCACAGTCTCTGTGAGACATATGAACACAGAGTCCCTCCTCTCTCATATTATAACTCAATTCAGACATTGAGGAGAGAAGTAAGATCTAAATCACATGAACAATTTTTACAACTGTACCAAACAAATTAACCAACATTAATCTGGGATCCTTATTTAGGAATATGATTGTATGAGAATAACAGTTTTCAGTTTGGGTTAGTCTATTTATAAAGCACTATTAAAGCAAAAGTCCACTGACCAATGTGCTGTACCATAATAAGAAAAAATAAATAACAGAAATTCTGAAGTGCTGAAGTGAAAACCGAATAGCAAAATATACCACAGCAAAGAAATACAGAATAACCTGATGCTTAAGCAGAAAAATGCAAAAATGCAAAGATAAATTATCACTAGTTGCCAAGGTGTGCCTTTAATTAAAATGATTTTGACAGTAATGAATGCTATTTTAAATGGGGAAGAGTTTTAGTGTTTAGTGTTTTAGAGTTTTTTTCTCCATCAGAGTCAGAAACATTTTGAATGTCATTTTGGGCCCAACTCACAACAGCGTAGTATCACGTGAAACACATTTATCTGTTCATCAGTTGGAATTTGGTAATTCTATAAAAACAAAATAAAATGCAACACATACTTATGTTTCCATCATGCATCATAATCCAATTGTTCACATGTTAGCAACACAGTTATGTGAGAACATCCTTTAAATCAAGAAAACACTTTTACATAATTCAAATTCTGCCATGTCAGTGTGTTTGGTCTTGGCAGAATAGACCTGCTATGCTACCGCTGCTGCAGAGCAAGTACTGAGACTTGCTACTGCCAGTACATCCATGACATGCTGCTGTGAGCATGTGAGAAATACTGCTGCTACTCATATATCATATATATGAGACAACCCACTATAAAACATACATGAAATCACCCTGTAGCAGATCTGTACAGGTGGAGCTGGGGAAGGTGGAGGGTTTCTGAAGCGCACTGCAACTGCTAAAGCGAGCACTAGCCCAGTATTTGAATGTTTGAGCACTTTCCCTGGGTTACTTCTACCTGTGATTTTTTTCCACTATTGGTTCATAATTGCCAGTCACAGATTCTTTCTCTCTGTCTTCATCTCTATCTCTGTGTTTGTCTCTCGTCTCTCATTGTAACAGGTTTTTGTAGAGAGCTGATGTGTTTCCTGTCACTGTGGGCTGCAGAGCACAGTAGTACAGAGCAGAGTCTGATACAGCAGCAGAGAAGATCTTCAGATCCACATGTTCCCTTTTTTCAACTTTAACAGTGAATCTTGGATCTACATCAGACCGTTGAGCTTCCTTTGCACTGCTGTAGGTGAGTACAAGAAATTCAGGTTTTGATCTTCCATACTGACGGTACCAGTGGAGATTATCTGTAGTTCCAGAGTCAGAAAAATTACAGGACAATGTAATATCTGAAGCCTCCTCAGCAAAAACTTCTGGTTGGTCTGGTTTGATGACATTTCCAAAGACAGCAGCTGAAAATGGAAAGTTAATTGGTAACTTTTTAGAGAAAAGTTTTGAGTAAAATTGTTAACAGAAAAATAAATAATTATGCAAATAAATACACATACCAGCTGAGACACAGAGCAGAATAACTGGATGAAGATCCATTATACAAGTGTTCACTCTGAAAAGAATCGATTCAACCACAGTCTCTGTGAGACATATGAACACAGAGTCCCTCCTCTCTCATATTATAACTCAATTCAGACATTGAGGAGAGAAGTAAGATCTAAATCACATGAACAATTTTTACAACTGTACCAAACAAATTAACCAACATTAATCTGGGATCCTTATTTAGGAATATGATTGTATGAGAATAACAGTTTTCAGTTTGGGTTAGTCTATTTATAAAGCACTATTAAAGCAAAAGTCCACTGACCAATGTGCTGTACCATAATAAGAAAAAATAAATAACAGAAATTCTGAAGTGAAAGACAAGTAACCGAATAGCAAAATATACCACAGCAAAGAAATACAGAATAACCTGATGCTTAAGCAGAAAAATGCAAAGTTATTGTAATAAATTATCACTAGTTGCCAAGGTGTGCCTTTAATTAAAATGATTTTGACAGTAATGAATGCTATTTTAAATGGGGAAGAGTTTTAGTGTTTAGTGTTTTAGAGTTTTTTTCTCCATCAGAGTCAGAAACATTTTGAATGTCATTTTGGGCCCAACTCACAACAGCGTAGTATCACGTGAAACACATTTATCTGTTCATCAGTTGGAATTTGGTAATTCTATAAAAACAAAATAAAATGCAACACATACTTATGTTTCCATCATGCATCATAATCCAATTGTTCACATGTTAGCAACACAGTTATGTGAGAACATCCTTTAAATCAAGAAAACACTTTTACATAATTCAAATTCTGCCATGTCAGTGTGTTTGGTCTTGGCAGAATAGACCTGCTATGCTACCGCTGCTGCAGAGCAAGTACTGAGACTTGCTACTGCCAGTACATCCATGACATGCTGCTGTGAGCATGTGAGAAATACTGCTGCTACTCATATATCATATATATGAGACAACCCACTATAAAACATACATGAAATCACCCTGTAGCAGATCTGTACAGGTGGAGCTGGGGAAGGTGGAGGGTTTCTGAAGCGCACTGCAACTGCTAAAGCGAGCACTAGCCCAGTATTTGAATGTTTGAGCACTTTCCCTGGGTTACTTGCATATAATTAAGTTTGTCTTCAGCGAACGATTGCCGAGTTTGACATTCCTCTCAAGATGCACGCTAGATCATTGGAATTGTGCGATGCTCTGGTGTCGTGGTGAATGTTTGCAGTTGTTGGTAGTGTTGCCATGATATACAGGTGTTGGCGTTTTCATGGCGGAGGATGTGAAACATTGGCGGAGCTTTTAGTTCACGTCCGCGTCATTCCGAGTGCTTTCTGAGCTGTCGCGTCGGCGCTACTCGCTTCTCAATTAACAATATATTTCGCCTGTACGCTCACGTGATGCTTTCTGAGCTGTCGCGTCGGCGCTGCTCGCTTCTCAATTAACAATATATTTCGCCTGTACGCTCACGTGAACCTGCACAAACAAAGATTCTCCGGGCCTGCTGTTGGAAACAAGGCTGCTGGTCTCCTTCGGCATTTCGTCTTCATCACTTCATCAGCCTACACCATTATAATCACTGTTTCATTTGCCTCTAACTACAACAATTCCTGAATGACTTGTACTTGAATGGAGTAAGTTTTACGACTTTAAGTCTCTCCTGTTGCGTAGCCCATTTTTGCAAAGAGGTCCTCGCTGTCTATTTCTGCATGAGCATCCTCTGAATAAGAGCAAGAATGTAAACGGATGAATGACACGTTTTCTTGCTATGCTCAAACATTAAAGTTTTCCCGATGCACAATAAATTGACTCCAACTAAGAATTTCATCATAGTTTTGTCTAATCTGATTATTCTTATACTATTCTCAGGACATATTATATTTAACGTAATTAGCTTTAGCTTAGCTATGTGGCATTAGTCTCTGATAAATAACTAGCTGGCACTCTCTCTTTTTCTATGTGGTGAGCATTGAAGTATTCTATCTTGGAACTTGTACTAATGTACCACAAGATTTATTTCTATCTTTGTCCTAGTTCCATACATTCCTAGTATTTCTTTAACTTGTATCTCATGCGATCTGGTTTCTCTGAAGGTTCACTCGTTGGGTTCCTATGGTTAAAAGGTGTCTTCTCTGCAGAGTCTATCAAGCTTTCATGGGAGTTAAGCCAGAGAATAGTTCTGTTTATTACAGTTCCAATATTTATGCTTATGCGTATTTACGCTTTCTGCTTAAACTTAACTACTACACTCGATCACTTTACTAACCTTAGCCATTTCATCACAATGCAGTCATTTACTCTCACCTCATCTTTACACAGGTCTTTCTTTTGGACTGGCGCTATTATGAATGCAGTCTATATCAAGCTGATGTATACATGGTCATTCTCCCATTCGAGTTCTAGGTAAGATTCGGCTCAATGCTCAGCAGGCATCTTTAATCTATAATCAAGGCTTGTTTATTTTTGCATCTACTGGTGGTGGCTCATTCTGTTTCCTCATACCTATTGGCTTCGGTCTTACTTGGCCTATTGTGGCCTTCACATAACTCTGCTATGGTGGTCATCAGGTAAGTTTGTCCATTGCTGTTTATGAAGTTTGGCCTATCGTGGCCTTCACATATCACGGCCTTCATCTACTTATGGTCATGCTGATCTGGCTCATTTTCTATTTTGGGGGGAGATGTTTCCTCTGTGGGTTCCGGCAGTTAGATGGAGTTCTATCAAGCGTGTGCAGGAGTCTAGCCTAAAGAATGTTTATTATATATCTTTGTATATGCTCTTTCTTAGTCGCTGTTAGAACCCTAATCCTACCTCTATCATTTAACCTAAACTAATGGCATCTCTAACACAATGCGGTGGTTTAGAATCCTTGTAATCTGCCATCAAGCTGCTGAGTTCCGGCAAGATCAGACTCTAAAACTATTTCATGTAATACTCAAGGTACAGTATGATACTCTTGGCAAACTACTGGTGGTGGTTACTTCTCACGTGCTCCTCATGTCCAGTCTATTATGGCTTTTGATACAATGGCCTATCGTTGTTATTCACACATGGGGCTTTCACATTAGCTTATAGAAACATGCACAGGCTATCAATGTAATTGCAGCCCGTCAGGCATTTACATGGCATATTGACATTACACATTGCTCAGCCTATCGTGGCCTTTGTTCAATTTGGCCTATTGTTACCATCAGGTAAGTGTGACTATTATTGTTCACGTAATTCTGCCTATCATTGTCCATCGCAAAATTGGCCTGTAATGGCTTTTCTCATGAACTACGCTGTCTTTCTGTGTTAAATGGCATAAATGTCATAAGATAGCTCATACAGTCATTCGTTTGTAAATATTTATTATTTATGCCTTTTGTTATAAATCTAATGCAGTATGTTTAAGGTAAATTAACCAAACACTGGTGGTGGTGTCACAACTATTCATTACATCTTTCACGGCCTATCACCAATAGTATGTTCCTGCACAACCGGAGGCTGCAGCTGGTGCTACTCGTGCATGCTACCAATGTATAATGGCTTGCTGTTCAGTAGTGCTATAATGGTATACTTAAATTAACTGTTTTTTCACAGGCCATCATATATGCCCTGGCTGTCCTACGGGATTTCTCATTGCAGGAGGTTGAGCAGGTCTTCCTTTCTGGTCCGGATTATCATTACAGGTCAGAGTAGAATGTGAATTATTTTTGCACAATGCCCAGTGCACCTTTTGTTACTGATATTTCTGTTAACCCAACAGTGATTGTTCTCTGATAACTATTTCAGTGAAGTGGAAGATTTTAATAGGCTTAACTTAGCCTTTCTCTCTCCGGCCTTCCCCTCTGTTGCCTATCTTTTGTGTCATTTCTTTCTGCGGCCTGTCTTTCTCAGGTTTCCCCTCTGTAGCCTTCTGAGGTATTTCTTTCGGTGGCCTATAATGGCCTTTCTCACTATGGCCCGCTCTCTCTCTGTGCGGCCTATCACTATCAGGCCTATTGTGGCCTCTCTCTCTCTCTCCTTGAGGCTTTTGTGGTCCATCTCCTCTACTCTATAAGCACCAATACTTTGGCTATAATCGGATAAATTTTTAACGCTTGTCATACTCACCTTAATTATGACTAATTAAATATATTTTCTTTTCTTTTGTTTTATATGTTCTAGGATCTTCTAAGAAATACTTCGTCTGGTGGGTATTTCATTTTCTTCTCTTTCTTTTGGGGTAGGCTCCGCCCTGCCTTCGTCTTTGGCAGGAATAACTGGAATCTACGACTTCAGATTTAAGCTACTCCCAGGGCCCCATTAACCATTTTTCATTTATACTTTTATATACTAGAAAGTGGGCCAATTTAGTCCCAAGGAGTATTGAAATAGTACACTTACAAGTATACTTCCAGTACACTGATATTTGTATACTTACTACATAAAGTATACTTAAAAATATACTTGAACTTTACTTAAGTATACTTACTAAAATAAACTTGAAGTATACTACTTTTTGGTAAGGGTAAAGCTGATGATGGAGTAGAAGTTGTGAAACAGCAAGTGGACCGGGCACATGGAGCAGATAAAATCACAGCATCATCGTCCCCACAGATTTTAGGTTAGTTTGATTAACAAGTTAACAACTTGATGGATGTATATTGCTTTTTGTGTTTGAACAAAGTATATTCGCTTTTGGGTTGAGAGATAAACCGGTAGAAATATAGCCTATAAATCATTTTGCGCGGCATGATGTAGGTTAAGCTTTTCATTTAAACACATTTTAAGCATTGTGGTTTAAAAACAAATTTAACTGTTCAGGGACATTAAGCAGTGGGGCAGAATTCATTTTGGCAAATGCGCGCATTAAGACGGTCACGTGGCGCGCATCTGCTCGTACAGCGCCAGTCTAAACTTGAGTTATTTTTCGCGCC